AAAACCACGAAAAACGGCCTAGAACCCGAGAATGGGCCTCTTTTTGCCCTTTTGATTCCCGCATTGGTGCGACTCTCATCGGTGCTGCCTTTCAACGCTAACGCTCTCTCTGCCAAATGGCTAGAGGTCAGGCAGAAGGAGGCGCAGGTAACGCTGCAGGGTGGGCCATGCTAAATAGCCGGGGGGCTGTCCCTGCTACGAAATGCGTCGGTCAGCACCCTTAGGTGGCCTGTTTTTCCTCAAGGTAAGTTTCCCCTTCTTCAACCTTCAACCTTATCGTGGGCCTCCTTTATATAGAAAACGAGAGATCTTCTCACTGTTGGTTCGCTGTAGAGCTACCCACTCACATGGAAAAGGCTTCAAATCTTGTCCCGAAAAATTTTAATGCCAAATTCGAGCTGGGATCAACCTATTTCAAACCCGACTATTTTTTGAAATTTCGGATACAGATTAAATGCATGGCTCTTCCCGAATGGGATAAACAAGTATGCCAATTTGTTCTCTTTTCATCTGCAGAACAATTTGTCAAAGGCAAATTTACGCTCTCAGCAGGATATCCATCAAACCTACGCCTTTCAACAGCTTTTTTCTTTGGCTGTGAGAGATGTTTCAGTAGAGACGGATGGAAACGTGTAGGCGTATGGTCAAATAGGCTCATGCGAGGGCCAGGCCGGATAGCATTCCTGATTTTGAACTTATTGTCTTCAGCTCGATCGGTGACATCAACTGTCGACAGCCACGTCTACAGCTCACATTCGCACACACAACCTGCGCCGTCAACCGTCTACACCTCGTCATATCTCTTCTCCTCATCACCTCTTTCACTATCGCCTTCAGTGTCAACGGGTGAGCTCAGTCTCCTCAATTAATCCTTCAAGGCAGCATTCGCGACCAGACATTTTTGTATATTGATTGACAAAATTGATTTGCTATCATATGAAATCGATCACAGGCCATATTAGGAAGCCCGTGGCGCTTTCAAATCCGAATAGGTATGTATGCCCCATCAGAAATGTGTGCATGAAGGTCTTTGCACGCGCCTGGCGCTCATGACCTAAGAGCGCTATGTGCGCGCGAACTATCAGATCATGTTACTCCCTTCAAGCAACTACCAAGTTCAATTTGATGAGTAACAGCGGTCGATAAGGAACATTGTGGGTGCCGATGAAAATGAAAAAGAGCCAAAGCAAACAGCCGGCGGTGCTCACAACAAATATCCTCTTGAAATAAGAAGGGGTGTGTGACCAGACGAGTTGTGCGAGCTTGCCAGCTCCACGGCTCAGCTAACCCGCTCGTATTTGAACGTAACCACGCTGCGTATCATGGAGTGTGCGCAAGGAATCTCGTTCCATAAATTCATTTAGTCGCCACGCAGACCACTTTGTTTAAGACCCAGTTGCCATTTATCGCGCAATTTGAGCGCTACGCACGGTCGCAGCTGTTACTCGCAAGCTTACTCTTCATTTACAATTAGAATCCTTTATACGACCTTATCGGGGGGTTATTTGCTTGAATTTGCTTCACTGGAATACGATCGAAAATTTCTCGTTCATCTTTGTTTTTTTTATATAAGAATATTCATAGTCTATAATAATTGCACGTACAGCAAGCAAAGCAAAACGCTACCAACCGCCAGCCGTGACGATTCAATTGCGATGGCTCACTGCCAAAAGCGACCTCGTAACTCGTCCAAACCTTGGAAATCAAAACAAATCTGAAAAGAGGACGCCAAAACATTTCTTTTCAGGAGTTTCAGCTAATTATGTTGACCGATGAACATGTCAACAAAACTTTGAGATTGTTCTTTTTAGTCACTCTACCGGCGACTCATACGACCCTGAATACAGTATCCGACATACCAGCCTCCATCAGTGCCTCCATAGATAAGACAATGGCCGACATTGAATCATTGGTAAGCTACCTTCGCAGTAGAGTTACTGTTAGAGCTTACTCTTGTTTGTTGCAGCTCGATTCGGTCTACACTTCTGAGAAGTCGCAACCAAATCTGCTTTACTACGATCAGAAACCGTTCCAACAAGCACCAACCCCAGGTAATGACCAAGTCGAAGCGGTTCCAGTACGTTCCACTTCCGTGCTGAGTCTGCGCGATAACCACCTGCGCTTTTTCATCTTTATAATGAGGCAATACGCCATCAGAATGACCTTTATCTTTCTCGTTTAATCGCGCTGGCACAGCTCTTCGCCAGCAGCAGCAATCTTTTCATTCACCCCCCGTCGTACTCCCTCTCGAGTCAATATCACCCATAAAAGCTTAAGCTGTCGTCTGGGGAATTCTGTAAGCTGTGCCAAGAACCGCGTGATTTTTGAACTGGAAACATTGCCAGATTCATTCGACGTCTTTTCACTCTGGTAAGAGTGCGCGTGGGCGTTTCTGCAAATCCATTCCCTAAGCAAGGGTCTGGTTTTCTTTTTCAAGGGTTTCTCTTGCATTCGTAATATTCATCAGGAATAGAAATGGAGCCATTCTGTGGGATTCAAAACATGTTTGCTTGAAGTCTCTTCAAATTTATTCATCAAGGACTATTTTGGTCTGGGTAGTCACGCTTTAGCCCACATTTCCCACGGCTTATGGCCCGAATTTATTTTATTATTTCTTCGATTTTTCCTTGTCTGCATTCCGTGCCGGCCTATTTCCTCTGCTCTTTCGAGCGGACCGGCTCTTTTTCGGGACTACCCTTTCCAGCCAGGGTCAACCGCCCTTTCGCACTAGTCGAACGAGGGGGTCGCAATTGGGATTTCGGGAAGGGGGTCGCATTCTGGGTTGTATAAGGTTATCATACTGGAACGTAGTTTGACACAGGTCGTTAAAGGGGGTAGAGTTTGGATGGGTCAAATACTATAGAAACAGAAATCAAATACTAAAGCAACAACCATGATGGGGATGGTTATAGAGGATGGGGTTATAGAGGAATATGTGTCGTATTGGAGGTCTTCTAAGGCTGATGGTGGGGAGGGGGGTCGCATCGAGACCCCTAAAGTGGGGAAGGGGTCGCAGAATTGTAGAAAAGTACGAGCATGACGGTTGATCCTATTCCCAGCTCCTAATACCCTTAATCGGTAGTATGGTAGCATTAAGCCAGGCCAAGAAATCTTGATTTATTGATTTTGGGAGGGTAGGGTTAGAGATTTTGCTCTTGTTGGGCTCTAGCCTCATTTGAGCAGAAAGGACATCATCTCAGTGGGCCTATCCATGTTCGGCTATCCCCGCCTGTAGAAATGACCTACACCCTATCCGGTGGTGAACGGTACTGCTAGGATCGATAAATCCTGCTCTACCGGTACAGTCTTCCAACTCCACTACGGAGTTCCCAACAGTGTGCGTCAGCAGAATTCGAGGGGAGGGGCAGAGGGACCATATGACTGGCAAAAACTTCCAATATGGAGGATTTCTCTGAATTTGGCATGTACCGAATACACATAAGTTCATGTTTTCCAGAAGTATGACCTCATTGTGTCAATGACATATCCTTTTTTTATGACCTCATTGTACTAAGTACGATTCCCAACCCAAAATTTCGCAGTAAGACTCGTCCGTTGGTTTATCGTGGATCGTCATGACCATGGAGTGGGCTTATGGACCGCCGACGTGACAAACCGTGGACCTTTTTTTCTATCCAGGGCCTTGAGCAGCTTGGTGTGCATCCATAACCGCACGCGAGCTTCTCGGACCTTTCCATATTCAGCTCGTAGACATTCCGGATTCCTAAGCTATTTTTGCATTCGTCAGATTAAAGCCCTTTGGAGACACATCAGTCCAGCCGGTTATTTCCAATTATTGCCACGACAACATTTTGGGCCACCTGGCGAACTGAATGGTTTGCACTGCTGCGCAGGCGATCGTAAAAGCCCTTGAAATTGTCTTAGGCGGTGACAGCGAGTGGATTGCCGAGTGTCCGATTCTTCCAAAAAGGCTTTTCGGTTTCCGTTCAGTATCGCAGATGTTTTGCGAGCTCGCGAAGTTGCAGCTACATATTTGCACCCACCCTGAATGATACGCCCAATTGGGCAGGTTTTCCATTCAGGATAGTCATGGCTGAAGTGTTGGGAATATTGTTTGGGGAAACTCGATTTATTCCCGCCGTTTGCCCCATCATTTTGCGTTTGCTATTGGAAACGACTGCACAGTCACACACATCGAGCAATTTATGTATGGCACCCTAGGGGAATGTCCGAGTGAAACGGAGCGTCTCTCTGGCTCTCTATCTAGTTCTACTTGTGGGAGTGCACTTAGTTCCTGAAGCTCTCCAGCTTCTTCCTTATCATCCTTTTCGCCGATCAGGGACTTTTTTCCATAGATTTTTTTGCAAAGATTTTTTCGAAACAATATTGTTGCTAAACCTCGTTGACTAATGCTGTAGCTAGATCATGGTTGTTTCAGTGTCGTCTTCCGCCGCTCGTACGACGTCGGCGGTGACGACGACGGCTGATGAAACCCACGTCACCTCCACGGCCGTCTCGGATTCCTCGTCCATGGTCCTGTCGTTATCGAAGCCACTCGGAAGCACCCTCGAATCCGTAATGTCGCATCCGGAAACCGACGACAACACATCACCAAGGTAAGCATTCAGCGATTTTTCCGTGGGAGTATATCTGTAACACTGACTGTTTCAGAGGCTTGAAGCGCTCTCCGGGTATGATTATCCCGTCTGATGTGTTCAGTGGGGCGAAAATTCACAAAGTCGAACCGCCAGTATCAAAGACAACAACTACGACGGCAGTGACGACTCCAACCACCCGAACGGAAATCCCAGCCGTGGACTCGTTCAACACCGAGCTACCGAATACCTTCGACGAGCTCAAATCGTCGTACAAGTGGTTGCGAGAGATCTCCGAGGTAATCGTTGCTATCAGATTTTTTATAGAATTTTTAACATATTATCAATTTTGGGCTAAAAACATCTGGAGAAGTAGCGTTTATCCTCGGGTTGTCCCTCTCTCCTTTCGATAAAGGGCCGTGCCGTCCTCCGTTATTCTTCATCCCCCCCCCTCTGTCAACCGTTATTCTCAACTGGCTACTCTGACAGTCAAAAGAAACCCTCAGAGAAGTCAAAATCATGCAAAAATTTTGGTCAACCGCCCAGGGCGCAATCTCCTGGTCAACTTTCAGAGATAGCCATTGTTGTGTGGATTCTTGTTCCCTGCATAGTTATAAAGGATATCGAGCCTGACAGGGTAGCGGACATACTCAAAACACCCTAACCCCTTCACGACTTGCAACTTCCTCGGTACCCTTGACCTTTCCCGGAAAATCGGCGATACTTAAATAGAATTTTTTCGTGAACATTTAACAACTGCTCATTTACGATAATAGTTCCCATTTACAACAATGATTTTCGTGGTTATCTCTCCAGCACGCCCCACTCAAAGCAAATCGTATAGGCCCTCCCTATCCCCCCTCCTGCCCTAGGCTACTTGGGTAAATGCTTGGGTTAATTAAGCATACATACGAGTGGGAATGTTCGGGATCCTTGTTTGTATCTGAGGCTTCGCGCCACTCGCCTTGAATGAGTAACGTGGCCCACCCCCGCTTCAAGCAGGGCCAAAACCATCCATGCTAGCCATCTACAAGGGGTAGTTATTGGTGCTGGAATATTCGTGGGAGGGGAAGTTTTTCAGAAATCGACGAGAATGCTTTGTGAACTACGAAGAACTTTCAGCAAATTTCGCTATTCCCTTTGTTATTCGTGTTCAGAAACCTAAAGAAACTTTCGTAATGCTTGCTCCAACACTCGAACTCCGCCCACTCACGGGAACCCCGCTCCTCCGCCGCGGAATATCAACGATGAAACGTTTTTTATAGTGGTGATATGAGCGATGTATTGGTCAAAAAGTGCATATTTTTTTCTGATTCTCTCCAGAAAAATTACCTCGATCAGTCACAGAATAGCCTCTAGGGAGAATCTGAAAATCTGGTGCATCCTCGATCTATGGGCAAAAAAACCGCTCCATAAAAAATCCAGCCTTCGTTTCCATGTTTCACGCCATTTTTCGGCTGCAATAGTGCACTTACTGCGGTTGCCCTTCGTGTAGCAGGCATAAGCTATTACCTTATAAATGATAGAGGATGAAAAAGCCAATGTAATCAGCCCCGCTCAGGGATGGGCCACGCATTCCACTTTCATTTAGAGACATAATGACACTTGTAAGCGAACGAGTCGTGGCAGTGACTTGAGGTGGCCATGCGTGCCTTTGCGTGCTGAATGGTGCCACTTATCACCCCCACCTTTGCTCTATTACCATATAACTGTCATACAAAACGGAGTGATTTACTGCACGTTTATTGCAGTGGACCGCAGACGAAGTATTGCAGACGTAAAATGCGAGTGGGCGGGGCTTGAAGTGATCGATAAAGTTGAAATTTTGAAGTTGAAGTATTTTCCCGAAGTCTATTACAATTTCTTCGTTACTTCCTTTACTAGTTATATTTCTTGATGAAGTCCTGTCCGAGCCCGAAATCCTTCATCCCTGGCTGGCAAAAGTTCGATTCACCTTCTGCAAGCCGCCCGCCACTACTCATTTCCAGATGTCCTTTGCTAGAATAGAAGCTTCTTGCAACTTGAGGGCTTCAATGGCGCAACGCGCACTTTCATCTGCTTCTCTTGGACTGCAGCACAACTACCCCATAAATTGCACGCAAGGGTTAAATCAATTCTCAATAGCGATGTGGGGCGCTAAAGCGGGCTTTCATCTCGTCGTATCTATGGTTACGTGCAATTTTGTTCACCTTGCTTCGTAATTCATTCATCGCTATTGTTTTTGGAAACAGCCCTTCATAAATTTCGGCCCACCGGTTCCGTAATAACGCGTTCCCCCTAGCTTCGATAACTATCCCGACGACCTCAGAATAGGATTTCTAGGGGAAAATGAGGAGGGCCACTTGATTTAAACGAGTCTAGACTGGCCCTCTTGGCCATTTCGCCCTCCAAAGAACCCAGGAGCGAACGAATTTGACTTCCAGCGGCGGTCCATGGGAATCCGGCGCGAGTCGGCGGTCATTATTTCGAGAATTACGGCACCCCAGTCCATTGTTTCTTTCTGATAGCAGTTCTGAGAGGATTACGCGACGTGGCCGATCGATGCGCACGTAAGGGCCTGCACTCGCCAGTAATATTGCCTATCAATAAGCTTGAAGTCTAATGCAGTCTGCGAGAGTACTGCCTATGCCGGGGGCACGTTGTGAATAATCGACCACGATCACCCACCACACAGCTGGTACGGGCAGGTAGTTGTCACGTCATGGCGACCAGGGAGGGCTGTAGTGGTCTAGTGGAGCTGAAAGAGCTACTCGGGACGACGGGGGATTATCATTATGCGGAGGGTGATGGCTCGCACTGAAGGCGGAGGGGAGTGCAGGCGTGACTCCGCCCCCTCCAGGCTCGGTCTGCCTGCTCTCCCGACCGCTGCTGCTCCAGACCCACACAGCCAACGCCGTCTCAGCGTCTGAGCCCCCACCAACTACTGATTCCTGTTCTACCCAGCATGCGCATCGCCGACAACGGTCAGCTCTCCACCCTCTATACCTATTTATAATTAATTATTGATTTTTCTTCTATTTCTTTTTATATTTTCATGCTTTGATGGATTATGTCGTAGTGAGCCAAGGCTAGGAATTGGTTCATTTTTCCGATATTTGGATTCTAAGGGGTTTTATAGAGCAAAACCCGGCTCGCATAACTTGGTTAGTAGGCGGTGGTATTGATCTCGAGCGAAAGAGAGGGGAAAAGCTGTGCCTCCTCAATAGCCGAAAGGAGAGTCTGGCGGCGAGATCTCCCCGTGCAATATTCGCAAGTGATGCTAAAACCCTCAAAGTCCACAAATCACTGCACTGAAAGCCGAACGCATTTAGGCCTTTCAAACATAATATCCCACTTATGTAGGTGAATTTATTGTGGCCCAAAAGCTAGCGAGCGAACGAGGCCTTTGCTGTGAGCCACATGGCGGCCAAGGGAGGCAGTAGAATCAAATCGGAACAATTGCTGCGGCAAATTATAGGGGTGTATTCGATCCAGAAGAAGGGCAATCTCATTTCGATTTGGTTTATGTTTCCGCCGGGAGGCTGTTTTCCCCCGGGGACGAATCCGTTGTGCTGGCTGCAGTAGACCCTCACGCCGTCACCGTTCCCACTCTAACCGACACTGACAGCTTGCGCTTTGCCCCTACATAATTCATAAGCGGCGTCTGATAACATATGTACGACGTCGAGATGATGTTTGTGATTGTTGCTCGTTTCAGGATGATGGCAGCTCGGTCGGTCAGGAGATGGGTCGTCGCAAATTACCATCCATTCCATCGTACTCATCATATTCGACTACACCGTCCTATCCAACACATCCACCCGGAGTCTCCTACATCTCGGCGCCAGCGTCAAGCAGCGGCTCTCTGGTCATGCCGCCGCATTCTATGGCACCGTTGGCCGTGCAGACTGATTCACTGAAACGGCCATCGCCTTCTATTCGTTCACAAACCTCTCCTGCCCCCGTCTACATCAACGCCAGCGCTCCGATTCCATCTACCTCATCCAGCTATTCTATATTCGGTGTCAGCTCTACCTGCACTCAAACCGCTCTTCCTCTCGACAAACTGCCAAACGGCCATCTGCCCGATTATTCACGCCCTTCATCTGTTGCTAGTGGTACTTCTTCTCTTGCTCGATCTATTGATCCTGCCATTATTCCTGGTGCTTCATTCCAAACTGCCAAGTCGAAAACTGCTCTTCGTCAACCCGTCTCCGTGGCCAGGACTAAACCGGCTTATGTTCCAAAAATCCCGAATACTCTTGCTCGTGTGCTCCTTAAAAAGGAACTCAAAGAAGCGCTATCTCGTCGTCGTGAAGCACTCGAAGCCTGCGAAATCGAGGCCAACCAGAGGCAGTATATCGTGCATAAGATGCTCGTCACCGGGCTACTGCCCGAGGCTCGTGAGGACGATATTCCTAATGTTACTCACTGTCTTCTACCGTTGGAACTCATCACTGGAGCACGAGTTATTCCGAAACCGACTCACACTGTTGCCACTCAGAAGAACGACATCGACTCTCGATACCCTACATCTATTCCGTCTCATATTCAGTTCAAACCTCAGCCGACCACGTCAGCGTCTGTCCAGTCGACTGTACCAGTTCCTGCTACTCGCTACCAACTTCTGCCATCAACGTCACTTCGAGCTCAACTTGATGTTGAGAGGAAGCCCCGCCTTAGGGATTTCGGCAGTGCGAGGACCGTTGAAACGCAGACCGAGCAGATCTCCACCGCTGACTACGCCCTCGGCAGCCATCTATCGAAGCCATCGACGAGTCGAACGCCAACACAACAACGCTCCCGAAGCAACGCGAACGTGCAGACGAACGACCTACTCGAGGCGACCAAGAAGTACTTCGAGGATTACGATCGACAACTGAACGAGCTGACCGAAAAAGCTAAACGAGCACAACGTCGACAGTTCGAGTTCCACGATGACGACCCACTGAGCCGAGAGACGAGACGATTGCAGCTGATGGACGAGCTAGCCCGACGTCGTGAACGAATGCTTGCCAACATCGACTTGCCGTCCGAGACGATGCCCTATCGTGCCTATCACTCGCAACTTGCTCTGGACTCTTCTGATTACTCATCGCTGGTTCCGCACTATGGATCTTTGCCTCGGATCGACTATCCATCACGCAATAAACGATCTCCGTTCACTCGCGATTTCACTGTTCGCCAACAACCGACAAGCTCCAGTTACGCCTACAACTACGGCTCGTTACCACGCAATTACGAGCGATGTCTTGGACAACAGTTCAATCCGATCCAGGTAGACTATGAGCAATCGTTTGGAGCTCGACCAGCGCCGCCAGGCTCGATGTCACGATCCATGTTCGATCTGCACTCTGACAACATCATCGATCCGCGCTATCGTATGCCGCCAAGCAGCATCCGCTCGATGAACTACATGGACCAACTTGGACTCGATCGAGGAGATCCTCTGGCTTATTCTGCCTCGTACAGGCCCGATCCTTACCTGGCTGGCAGGCAATATGCCAGTGACACCGCCAACGTTCAGATGCAACCGTCATTCGCTTCACAACAAGAGGACATGATCTCTCGATACGCTAACTATCTGAACAACGAATTCCAAAGTGGTCTCCTCAGCCAAGCCGATCCGTCTAAGCACTACTACATGCCTCCATCGGCGCCACTTCGATACGAGCAACCGATGAGCGATCCGTACATGACGATGCCGTCTACCACCCCTCTGCCGTCTTACACGTACTCGGAACCGGCTGGAATGCCTGGCTATTTACCCTACGAGACTCCTCAAGTGTACAGCAGAAGTGAGAACAACTACGGTGCTCGTCCACCCAACTATCCTCTCGATTACGGTAATGTGGAGCGTCAGCGATTATTGCAAGCTGCCCAGATGCAAGCCGAGGACCCGTACGCGCCGGTGCTATCAGGTGGCCAATACGATCAACAGCAACGATTATCACAAATCCCGTCTGCCTACTACTCATCACAACAGTATCCGATGATGCCTTCTCGTTCGAGCTATCCGCCTGCGCTCTCTTCATCGTTGCCAACCGGCTATATGGGGAAGACGCCGGCTCGAACCTGGTCCGGAAACATCGATCCGTCGGCGTACGATGCCCGATTTCCACGTGAAGATGCGCTGTCAAGGATGTATGCGACCGCTGGAAGACGTCGACCCACAGGTATGACGACGTTCGACGACCACGCTTCCAGTCCTTCGTTTCTCCTTGACGGCCGATGAGCTGCCGCCCTTCCTTTTTTCTCATTCATTCATTCAGTCATTCATTGCTGCCATTCTTTTATGTGATGATGCATGTTGAACAGTGCACATTTAACTTATTGATAGAGATCTATTATGAATAAATTGTACGAAACGCACATGTGAGTCTATCAAGAGTATCAGCGGCTACCGGGGAAAACGTGAAGAATTCCATTGGATGCCGTGAACAGCAGATGTTTTTGACAAAGCCAGGTGTTCGCGCGGGTGACGGGTAATGAAGTGAATTGATCGGGCGCATTTTGTTTTCTGTTGCAAGAAACGAACCGGCACGGAATTCAGTTAGACTTTCTCTATGAGCACTAGCGTGTGTGTGTGTGGTTGGGTGTGCTCGTTCCGTGCACAGAGAGGACACTCGTTGTTTTGGGCGGTCAATAAGATGTCGCGAGAGCGGCCGAAACGAAGGGAGCTTGAGGTAGTAGAGAAGCCGCCGGAGGCGAGAGGTTCAGAATTGCCGCTCGAGAGGCACCGACATCGACTGACACACACACACATACACACACATGCACACATGAGAAGAGGTAGCTAGCTGGAAGTGAGGATCGATCGGCTGAAGGGGAAGAGCACGACGATGACGATGGCGGCGACGACGACGACATAGTCCTGCAGCTCGTCGCCGCGGATCCGCTACCATCTGGGAAATCCTCCTTGCTCGACTCTAGGCCAGCTGAGCGAGCAGCTGTTCCACTCGGAACTCGTCCGTCGTTCTCTTTGTCTATAGAGGTTCTTCTTGGCCTATAGGTCCTCGTTCAGTTCTGATCATCTCGCATGTGCACTGTTCACAAACATTGTCACATCCCCACCCACCTTAACTATGCACCACATGTGTCTCGTCGATATTATAAACGTTTATCTATTCAGAATCGCACAGACGAAAGCATTTGTATAGCGTAGGAAGAACTTCTGACTACCCGGGACCGGTTAAAAAACCAGTTGAGGTATGTGACCCCCTGTGTTCTCGTCGAAGAGGGTAGCTCTCGCTCATTGACCTTTCCTACAACGAACACTTTCTGCCTCTAAACGGGTTTCCTTTTGAGGACACTGCTCGTCATCGCTCCGATGCACTCGACTGCACGTCGTCTTCCACCATCAAACGCATTCTCCTCACTAGGCGCTACAAGGACCATAATATTTACAATGGTAACGTGCCTATAGTTATCGTAACCTTCAGAGGAAGTCCACCGTATTGTTACAGATCTGGGCATTCGGGTGGTCGGCGGAAAACGAATGCCAGGCGGAGAGTTGGGCGCGTTCGTGTCCGCCGTCAATCAGGCCAAATACAACCAAATTCTTGGAGAAGTCAAAGAAGGTAACTCCATGATTACTCGCAGTAGAAGCTGCTTTTGCAGAACATGGTACTGTAGAAATAGATTTTATCGATCGACTTTCAGGCGATCAAGTTCTCGAATGGAACGGTGTGTTGCTGAATGGAAAGACATTTGAAGAGGTGGAGAGGATTGTGAATTCCAGCAGTGGCGAAGTCGAAATCATACTGAAATCGTGAGTACTGCTGGCAGTATCACTGACAGTTTACACCCTCTCAATTTCTTATACAATTGTTTTTCGTTGTTCCAGTGAAGGCGAGAAATCCCATCGCATCTCCAACCTGAGGAAGTACTGCTCACCTCGAGATCCACAGCGCTGCTCCAACGTGAACGGCTCAGTGCCTACAACCCAAAAGACGCTAAGGATCAAAGGTATTAATTATCTTTGCATGATTTATCGGTTGGTTCGGTATTCATGCTTTGGTGTATTCAGATGCTTCACCTGACCGAGCGCCTCCAGTTCCGATGCACCGTAGGAACGGTAATGAACCGCTGACCTACGGCCGTCAGAATCCATCCAGCCGCATCTACGATAACGTTGATGGACTTGATGTAGTCGAAGATGGGTGGCAAAACAAGCCCCAGGTACTTGTTACTTTTTTGAGGTTTTTTTAACGGAATTTTTTTTCTCAATGGAAAGGCCTCATTGACTAATCCAAATAAAATAGCCCTGTCGCGCAAAACATTTCCCCAACAGCCGTACTTTGCGTTCCGTTCAATGTACAGCAATAGCCAATTCGCTGTAGGCCTATCACTGCGTAAGCTGACGTTTGAAAGGAACATGACAGATGACGAAAAGGACGCTGGAATAGGTTTTGCCTGAGCTTCGCAGCCCTAGAGAACATCTAGCGAAATCGGGCGATGCCGTCATCTTTCAGAGAAGCAACTATGAATAGGGTTAACGTGCGTTGCGAAGCTCTCTACAAGGGAGCCTGTATTTGAGATTTTGGAGGGGAGGCATGATCTATTTTCGCTATTTTAGGGTCGATGAAAGTGGCAAGGGAGAGAGAAGGAGGGTCATATTTTAGATGTGGAAGGGGTCGTGGCGGTAGCAGGGGGGGTGAGATTCTGCCGTTTCGAAAGGGAAAAGTGAGCGGAGTTAGGCTGTACCGGCTGATCACAGGATCGATTTCTATGGAAACGGCCACGATGATGAGGGTGATGTTCGGCTTCGAGATCGGGATATGGGGACAGGGTCGACAGTGCAGCGTCGGCGCTGGTGTGATGGTGAGTGGCGTTAGGGCGTCGAGTTAGGGTCTTAAGGCCTGATGTTTGGCTAGAGAAAGTTCGTATGGGAGACCCATTAAAGGTTGGATAGAGTACGAAGTACAAACTTTCAGAGCATTCTTGGTAACGGCACGGTGATGAGGAGCTGTCTTCTTAACTTCTTCTGGACGTTTCTTCATAGAAAATTTTGAATTTACGTAGCTGGTGGCAGGATTCTGTGATCCGATACCCGGAAGCTAGGACGGTTGTTGCATTAGAGTAACATAATTCGAGGATTTTCATTTCAGGATCTCTCGTGTATCCTCAAGTGGCGGTCACCTACGACCAAAGCACATCCCGCGTGATCGTCAGAATTATCGCAGCTCGAGGCTTGAAGATGCGTGACCAGACTAGACGGCTCGCTCCGAACCCATTCGTCAAAATCTACCTTTTACCTGGCAGAAAGTGAGTAATGATGCTATCCCACGCTGCTTTCTCATTAGTGCAATACATTACAGTATGACCACCAAATGCAGCATCTTCCAATCATAGCACATAAATCCCGATAGCGTCCCTCACTCTCCAACATTTGATCAAACGCTTTCGGTGCATTTAGCCTGTCAGCTGTCGCTTCTGGAAGCATTAAACTCATATTAAATACAGAGCCCTCGGCCTAGGGGGACGTGGCCCGAAGCAGGACCACCATGACTTTTGAGAACTAGCGGGTCGTATTTGGGTTCTTTCGAGGTGGTCACAATGCTGGTTCATTGGAAAGTGGGATCGTATTTGAAATTGAGGTAGTGTCGTGGTGTCGTGGTCCACGTTGAAGTGTAGCGTACGGGGACGGGGTTGTTTTTGACAGGTCCACTGGACACTTTAGTGCGAAATATCCACGAAAGGGCATGAAGCGGGCAAAATTAGAGCGCTTGCCTTTTCGAACGTCTTCCCTCTCCCCTGCCTCCTCCTCCCCCACTCCTCTGAACGGCGTTTCTGTGACGACTGTTTCGGTGGGGTATTTTGGTTGCTGTGCATGGACTGGTCCGGAATCAAAACTCTATAGAAACGGCCATGTGGTGAGGTTGGGGGAGCAACGTAGGGGCGGACAGGGGAGCGAGGGAATCTAGTGTGGAACCCTCATTAGGGACCCGGTGGCTCCCGTCGGGTGGTGGCAGAGATGTGTCGAGACTTTAAGAGGAGGAGGGAAGGCGGACGTGAAATTTTTGAGGAGGACTGATTTCCCGACATTGAGCTACTGTCCCTCTTACAACAACACCGCTGCACGAGGGGATATTGCTGCTTGGAGAGCTTGTTCGGGATTTCGGTAGTGTGACACAGCACTAGATAGTATTGTACGTAGATAGTAGTGATTAGCAATCGGTCTGTACCAACCTACAGCTGAGAGTGGACGCCGCCGTTGATGACTCTACCTCGGGAAACGGTTCTCTATTGTTGTCACGTTTCTGAACTCAACACCTCACACTATTCGTGCCATGTCATACCACCTACCCCTGCTTCACCATCACCCATCAGAGTTCTGAAGCGAGGGACGCCAAGGGGGGGGGGGGGGGGGGGGGGGGGGATAAGGTCGTGTTATGGTATAGGTATGAGAACGGGGAAATTAGGCTAGGAGAAAAGCCAGGCGGACCCCAAAGCGGATTGCAGACCGGTACGTTAATTCGTAGCGAAGGATATGGTGCTTGTGTGAGCTATGTATTAAATAGATGCCGCCCCCCCTCAACCGCTATCCGCGCTGGTGCAACACATAGGTCTCTAGACGGCTCCTCAGCAAGTGAGGAGGCATAGCTTTGAAGAGGACCGAGCACCGATGAGATCTAGTCTTGCGCGAAAGCACGGCTTAAGATGGGGGATTTCCGCGTTTCTGGTGGGCGTTTCTCATGAATTTTTGGTCTTGATTGCCCGGCACCGCAGAGTCACCTCCGCCGATTCTAATGGATAAGTCCACCCCAAGCTGTTGACGTTTTCCGTCACACCAAATTTCCTTCTGATTTCGCTCGACTATTTCGTGCATTTTCGCCTATCTGGTGTGTAATTGATAGCCTCGGATCATCTTGTACCTGGCGCCATTTAGAAAACGCTGACATAAGCTCACGACCTGAAAGCTATTTCGCTAGAGAATGGGTTATTGTCCAGGTAATAAGTTTTATGGTGTGGTACGATATTTGGGAGCACTCGTATGGTGTTTTCAGGGGGCATCATTGGAGCTTCTTAAACGAGGTTCTGGCCTTTCAAAATGTTTGAGGCTCAACTGGACTGTTGCAAGCTGGAGACAGTTCATTCGTTGATGTACGAGCCAGCGTCTATACTTGAGAAGCGCCAGTAGCGACCAGGGTCTTTGTGGTAGAGTGAATAAGAACAGAGCCGGAACATGGGCCCAATTTCAATACCCGTTCGGCGAGGTGTCCCCCATAACTCTTTCGCCCTAACAGTAACAGAGTCAAGTGTTGACAATTAGTTCGGTGCACTGTAATTTGATTGCATGTCGTGCTGATTCATGCCTGCATGAAAATATTGCCATTCAGGGTGTCCAATAAACGACGAACGCGGTTTGTTCCATGTTCGACAAATCCCGAATGGAATCAGATCGTTGAATGGCAGGTGTCACCGATGGCTCTCACGTCGCTGTTCTTGGAGTTTTCAGTCTGGGACTATGACCGTCTCTCTGAAAACAACGCTCTTGGTCAGGTCATCGTCAGTCTTGCCGGTCAGTTTTTTTTTCTTTATTTATTGTCGTTTTCGCCTTTACGAATCAACTCGGTTAAAGGTGGCTCATTCTTAATTGATCACCAGTCTGTTGCCAAAGATCCAACAAGGGAGAGCGACAGACGGTCGTATTTGGAAAGGAAGAGCTGCGCAGAAGTATACGTCGCAATGCGTAGAGATCGTCATGGACGTAGAAGCGTAGGGGATGGCTGACGCTGTAAAGGTCCTAAATAAGTGTAGAAAAAGGTAATTGGCTGAAAGCGCAATGTAAATGGCGAATATGTTAGACAGACGGTTGGAGCTCGCAATTCCAGGCTTAGACTTACAGCATTGAACGATTAGATTCGAAACTATTGCTGTAGCGACAGTAGGTGAGAGGAACATCTTTCGAGACCTTCTTCAACTATTAAGCGACGAACGGTTGCATTGGCGCATCTTTAACAGACATAGTCAGTTCGCGCCAAATGGTTTATATATGATTGTTCACAGGCACAAATACTGCTCTACTGGAAACCCGCTATATTTGGACTAACTATAAGTCCATGGAGGGGAAAGGGAATCACTCGGGAGAATTGACTTTTGAAGGCTCGGAAAAAATTGTGTGAGTTGTTACTTTTCAGGAAGAATTCAGTACCTGTTGTTATAGGGAGTGAACTCTTAGTTTTTGAAACGTGTTTGCTGTTTTTGGCAAAATCACTTCTGAATGTAACTATCTGAAACCTAACGCAGTTTTGGAAAAATAGCTTCAAAAATTCAAGGTGAAAAAAGACGTAATAACGTGGCTATTTTTGAGCCGCTCGATCTTGAAATCTATTTCGGTATCCATTGGAAAGCTGTAATCCCGCAGTTCTCTATGCATTTTGAGGAACTGCAAAAAGTTGAATCTTAGAAAGTTATAACAGTTCGAATCCTGAAAGCTTGCGTGTTGTCAAAACGGACACGAAACCATCCAAAACGGAACAATGGGGCGATTTTTTGACCTCATCAATTTTGAAATCAATGTAGGTATTTTTTAACAAGCTCTAATCTCCTGCTTTTTGCATACGTGGTAAAGATTGCAAAAAGTCGAAAACTAGAGAGAGTTACAACGGTTCAAAGCCTAAAACTCGCTTGTCCACAAAAAAAAAACAGACCAACGGAGCTACTTCTTGAAGGGACGACTATTCACAAAAGTTTGAATTCATTAGAGAAAACAATTAGGAGTTCTCGAATTTTCCCCCAATTCCAACAATTTCATCTTCAAAGAAAACTGCGACTCACGAAAGGGAGAGAAGCTTTTTGGCGCCAACAGAGCCGCGCGCGCGCGCAGCGCGCGCAGTTCGCATTGCGCTGTGCGCGCATGGCGAGGTTTGAATGTGGAGACAACTGATCGAGTTCGAAGAAGATACCTTAGACGAGCCAGTTGAGGACATCCTCAAGTCATGTTAGCCCTGCTGCTCGAGAGAGCGGAGATTGTAAAATTTCAAATTGTACTAAAAGGCTAAACGGACCCTGCTTCGCGAAACGAGAACAGGGCGAAAGCTTGGACGCGATTGCGTGTGCTAGTGAACTGTCAACCTGTTATGAAACCTGTTATGAAATTCACGATCCACTACTCTCTTGCGTTCTCAGATCATCTTTTCTACTTCAGACCACAATCTCCTATCGGGCCAGCCCTGTTGGCTAGCCTTGCAACCGTCGGATGCTCGTCCAACTGTTCAACAACTCAACGCTCCACTCGATACCCAACGGTACGCATGTCTATCACTATAATCCAGGTAATTTGCTCAAATTCCTGCTTGTAAACCTACGGGTGACGTCGAGATAAGGTGATCCCCTTGTAGCTTGTTAGTCCAAAAGGTCACCATCTATCTTCCCGGCTTCTGTCCATGCCGTAACTGCGGACTTAGTAGTGCACTATCTCGAAATAGCACGCGTGTTTTTTGGCGCATTCGATGCTATCCGATGTCATATACGTTCAGTTCTGCAAATTTTACATTCATGGCTGAGGGGCATGGTTCAGCTAGTCTTCAAGTGAAAAATATCATTTCAGTTACTCATTGGTCCACAAAATTCAATTACTCATTGGTCCATAAAAGTTACTGACCAGGAAGGCCTTTCTGGTCATTCCTGCCTTTTTTTGACACTTTTGCATTCTGTAGAGACAGGTGCATGCAACGCAGTAGTACGATCTTTCTTCCGGGAGCAGCTTGAAGTGAATAAACATATTCCCCGGTCCGATTCCCCGCGGTGACAGAGTTTTGCATCTCTCATTTTTAACTCCGTTTTTGACATTCTGAGGGTCGTTCGAAGAAATAAACCATAGTTCATGTTCCATGCATGTGCCTTTACCCTCTATTTCGGGAAACGAGAAGAGCTGTCGAGAGCAGACCACACAACACAAGTGACGACGGCCAAGAAAAAGTGGTTTTTTTCTTGACCGTCGTTAATTGTGGTGTGTGGTCTGCACTCGACGCTCCTCTCGCTTCACGAAATACAGGTACATCATGCGAATAACCGTTTTTAAAAATGCAGGCACAACCTGAAAAAACTTTCCTCACATGGGCGAATCGTGTGTTCTCAACGTCGAGTCGTATTTTTCGTGTGTCAATAGGTCCAGATCACGGCTTCGTGTCTATCCATGTGCTTAGTGGTTCGGCCTACTGTAGTGCTTTTGGTGTTCAAATCAATTAAATAGTGGTATTCCACGTCCCCCGTTGTTTTTCACAGCGTGATTTTGCGAAGGAAGTACAACTGATCGTTGCCTTTTTGTTTAGAATTCGGAGAGGACTAGGGGACAGTTCGTGATTCTTGTGGAGGGGAAATCAAAGAGAAAAAGAAGAAAATGAGAAGCCTGTTTGGGAACCTTTCGATTGGCGTATTTGCGATCAAAAAGTCAGATGTTGGGTTCACATGCGATTTTGACGGTAGGATTGTCCGACAGGAAGCCCGTCGGCGGCGTACGAAGGGCAGAGTCAGTGGGACGAGTCGCAGCGTGCACTGTAGTGAATGCGCGTCTTGTTGAACAGAATACACTACTGGACGTCCTATCGTACTATGGCACAGTACGCGCTGCGACTCGTCCGCTGCTTTGCCTTCTTACCGCGCGACGGGTCTCCCATTGGGTACCCGTACCTGACCCTGCCTGACGAGCCCGTGCGCGACATCGCTTTCGCCGCGTCACCAGGCTCTGGATGTCTTGACCCATGCCTTGATTTTTCTAGGTCGCACGCTAGCATAATTTTCCTTTTTCAGCGTCACTCGACATTGGATATCCGGCTATTAACTGAAAACCAATTGAAATGCAGATCGCCTTATAAATAGATGCAGAAGCAGCAGCCATTGTTCACAGCCAATTTTGTCGTCATTTATAATATTTTTTATTTTCTTCATTCGTCGGGTGCCAGCAATATATAATAATAAATTCGCTCTCATTCCATATGTCTATTATATTTCTACAGTATTCCACTACGCTCATTCACGGTGTCTATATTTCTCGATGATCGATTGTGATAGTTGAGCGTGATGATATCTATTATTCATTCTCTCCCCTAAATGTGGTCCTTATAAGACCCCCTCCCCGCTGTGATCTCTTATTCGAGCATCGTCACTTCATCACATTCACATTGAATTCACTCAGCTGATGTATTAGTACAGTATTTGTAGAGCGCATATCCAGAGCAAATTTATTAACTTATTAATTTATTTACTCGTTTATTTGTTCTCCGGACAGATGAATAAACAATTTATGATAACATTAAAGCATAATAACAATGTGTACAATAAAAGCAGGTGTTTATCGACCGATCATCTCATTTCCCTTGCCTTTGTAAATGCCACCAAGTGCCGAAGACAAGGAGAAGCTGTCTGAAGAGGAGGGAGCGGCTTGGCCGAATTCGGTATGCGGGAAAGGGTCAGATCTGGAGGCTGAATTGAATGGTGACGGGCTATCACTGGGAGAAAAGGATGATTCAGGATGGAAAGCAGTGTGGAAAGAAGAAGGACTGTTACTAGATGAGAGGAATGGTTGGTAGGGTGTACGGAAAGGAGACGATAATGAGGATCTTGAATAAGGAGAGTAGGATCGTCCACCGAGGAGGGACAAAAGAAGAGTGGAGGGATCGAGTACGTTGTCCGTTGCGAAGTTGTATCGCGGATTGTAGCTTGGCCCTTCAAAAGGAAGTTGTCCATCCTCCCCTGAAAACGCTAGAATTCGTTGCGATTGAGGAACTTCAGAAATTGCGTGTTTCAGTAGGAGCCAAAGGTTCTTTAGTAGCCACGTCTTCGATTGCAATTCTCTTAGGCTGATGCCAGACTTTGCGAATCAAGCGATTCGCTAGCTTTCGCGTTCGCGTCCTGGAGAGCGACTCGCTTGATTGGCTGGTGCCGCAGCGCGACCGCGGACGCTAGCGAGTCGCTCGATTTGCAAAGTCTGGCATCAGCGCAGGCGCGTGTCATGTCATACTCATTGGAAATTCTCCTCTTGGCTGAGGTATTAGACCCCTAATCACAGGGGTAGGCACTGTCGCGACTCGAGAATGAGCGACCAACTGAACCAATGCCTTTTGCTGGACGCGCATGACGACCGCTGCCCGTCTTATCAACCGCAGCATTCGTGGAGCCTACGCCCTCTCGCGTTCGACGTGTTCACTCGCATTTCCCCCGCTTATGTTCCGTTCTTTTTGCTATGCTCATGAGGCTAGGGCTTAAGGCATCGTTTTTCTGTGTAGTGGAAGGCGGAGCTTTCCGTAATAACTTCGTATAGCATACGGAAAGACTCAGTCAGGAAACTGCTGCGGAACGCAGAAGCGCAATACATGACTTAGCAGAGCCCATTATGGGAGGGGGTGGGGGGGGGGGGGGGGGGGGGGGGGGGGGGGGGTCCTTCTGTATTGCTGGGAGAGCATCTAGGCCTTTGCGTATCTGGACGCTTTTGCACGTTCTATAACAACCAGTTGGCGCCGCACGCGTTGCGCGCACAGCACAGTTTTGCAGCGATATGGGGTGGTGCGGCGTAAATTCTCGAACAATGGCAGTTGACCTCCCTTTCGTTGACGGACTCAGTTCACCTTTTTCCCGGTCTCCAGGACCTCTTGGAACCGAGTTATGAATTTTCGTTGATAACTCCGCCCACTTTGAACATGTCCAGCCCACCAATGACAGCTGGCCTTCACTCCTCCAAACACCTCCATCCACCCTTTTCCCTGCCTCCGGGACTTCTTGGAACCGAGTTATGAACTTTCGTCGCAAACTCCGCCCCACTTTCGGTCAGGCCCCGCTTGGCCGCGGCCCCGCGAGCCCGCACGACCACTTTGAACATGTCCAGCCCACCAATGACAGCTGGCCTCCACTCCTCCACCCACCTCCATCCACCTTTTTTCCGGCCTCCGGGACTTCTTGGAGCCGAGTTATGAATTTTCGTCGCAAACTCCGCCCACTTTGGTCAAGCCCCGCCCACCGATGACAGCTGGCCTCCACTCCTCCAACACCTCCATCCACCTTTTTCCTGCTCTTTAAGACTTCCCCGACCCGAACTATGAGGGCTTGTAGAGGCTTGTAGAAAATGCTGTACACTTCAGAGCGCGCCCCGCCCATTCTGGGCGGGCCTCCGCCCACGTCATGTATGCAGGAAACACCTTAGACATTGCTCCCTTACACCAAATTGTTTTCTGCTCTGTAGGCTTTCTCCCAACCGAGTTATGAAATTTTTCATAAAGCACTGCTTTTTTAGAGAACGCCCCGCCCACCGGGGGTGGGTCTCCCTAATTCGATGTGACTTACCAATGCACACCTTACCCACTTTTTGGCCCAGTTTCGAGGTCGTTTTGTCACTGAAATCGAAATCTTGGTCTTCGGTACAATTCATTTCGACGCACGCCACGCCCTCTGTGGGCGGGGCTCCGCTTAGCTGATGTGTGTTTTGTATTACGTGAGACCTTGCCCACCCATTCCACACTTGACCCGGTCCCTCCAGGGATCCCGAGGAGCTAGGGAATTTCGTGACAGACACATACAGACAGACGACAGAACGACAGAACGACAGACGAAGCGCTTTATAGTTAGTAGGATAAAACAGTCGACCGTTCCAAAAGACAGCGCAAGTGGCCAACTGAGGCTGCAAACGGCTCATCTACAGATCGTTGACGATCGAATCAAGTTGGGGCAGAGCATTTCCATACGAGGTCACGCAGGCAAGCTGTCCGTACCGCACCCAAAAAGCATACCCGCATGACTCCTTCAACTCAAACTCCTCGCCTGTTCCCCCTCCAAACCATTTAAAATCCCCCTAAACTCTGAATGTAATAAAAAATGCAAACATCGATTCTCAAAAAATCGATAACCCCCTTTCGAAACATCCTATTCATTGATCGCATCATAGAAAGAAGCGCCATAAACTGTTCTTGCGAGCGGATAGCACAACCCATTTAACCATCCTAGAAAAAAGTTCGCAGCGATTTCGGGCAGCTACACCGAACCTTTTCCTTACCGTGGATAATTGCCTTTCGAATTTCACCCTCCACTTCACCCAAAGGAGGCTAGTTGGCAGATTTGCGCGAGGGCTACAATTTTAGGAGTTCCCCGAGTGTTGCGATGTGTCATGGACAATTAGCATCAGTCGGACTACTTTCGGACATTAGGCCATCGCATGTGTGGCCCATCCGAACTGGATTGCCCATTGGATTTGGATGTGCAATGAGGGGCCAACAGCTGCCCGTACAAGGACGAATATGAAGACAAACAGCGACAACTGGTATCGGGAGTCCCAGCACCCCCAGCGCTGTCTTGTGTTCGTTGAATATTTCCCATTTGACGATGTTTTACGGGGGCAAAGATGAATGACCTGTGACGAACTTTGCGCATTATCCTCGTTCAAGAGGCAAAACGCCTCAATCGTTTAAGTCAACCGGTTCTGTAAGTCCCGTCAACAGGGAGAAAAACCTTCGGAATGCCCACTCATCACTCTATACGTCTGAAATGATTGAATTTTTCTATGAAGTGTTTTAGGAATAGCTACAGTATACCGGCGGCCGAGGGTCATTTTCCGGAATCATGGGCGTTTCAGAGTCATCCTCAAAAATACTAAGCTGAAATATGCCTAAGGGTATCACCCGTTCTTGAGGCCCTAAGGAAATAAATTCTGGGTTGAGATACTGATTATTCCAACGGAACCTTTAGGCCCAGGATCGACCCTGGGTCTAAGGGAACCTTTGAGCCTAGGATCGAACCACGAGTTCTGGATAAATCTATCAATCAATGTGGATGCGTCACAAATTGTCTGATTTGCTGAGCTACATCTTTCGTAGGCCATTTATCACCGCTGGGCAATTTATCCCGGAAAACCTATGTGACTTAGCCCAATGACTCCGGGGAGATTGGAGGCTCAGCTGGACTGCCTTGGGTTCCATCGCTGATAAGCAGTAGATCTAGCCATTGAGCCACTTTTAGCTGCATCTAGGGCCGTAATTTTGCTTCCAGGGCTCCTGGCATTTTAGTGTGCTTTGTGAAAGGAGGTGCAGGTTAAGGGGTAGGTTGTTAGGCACGACGTTAGAAAGGTAAAGAGTAATAAAAAGTGTTAGTTGCCTGAATATACTCACAAACCATAGGGACTGTAACTGATGCTGTTGTAGCGGCCGCCTTGTCCATAATACGGACTGGCCCCTCCATAGCCACCGTAATAGCCAACGGGTGAATACCTAAATCTGTGAACGTTACCATTTCAGATAGATGTTGAGAAAATCCAGACGGATCAGTAAACTAAAGAAAGACTATCGGACCTTGGCCTTCCCCAGAAGCCCATTGGACGTGGCACTGGCATCGGAGCATTTGGTCCTGGTCCTGAATATGGTTCATCGCCAGTGATCGCTTTCAATTCTGCCATCCCACCTTGACAAAAGACGCTTGGAAGAAGAAACACTGAAAAAGTTTGAATTATGGCAGGTCGTACAAAGTTTAAAAAACGCAATTTGGCTGAAAGTTCCATGTAACCTACCAATTACGGCCATTTGCGTTCCATTCTTATGCTCAAGACAAATCAGGCAAAAAGCTGAGACAAAGACGACCTTGAGAGTGGCTTGCAACACGTCGCCCGAAGGCATACAAGGACAGCGAACCGCTGTTGACCTTTCGGAGGGGCCCAAGGCCAAATGGCGTCAATGGGGGTTATCTAATGCGTCTAAACAAATTTGGGTAGCCTCAGCGTCCTTGAGCAGAATTCTCGACAACAGCCACCTTCTGCGCATCAGCAAGTAGGAAATTCGAAGACTTGGGCTGCTGATCATAACAATTTTTTTGAAAAGGGGACGGACCACTACCGTAACCCTGTTGAGCTTGCCAGCTTCTACAGTAAGTTGGTGAACTCCTAAAAATACTATAGGTCTGTCTGCGGGACTTTTAGTAAGACAATGAGGCCTCAGCAAGACTGTGAAGCTCGACAGCACCAGTCACTACCACTCACACCAGCAAGCTGTGAAGAAGGAATGCCACACAGGTGAATTTTTTTCAGCAGGAGATACCATTAAAATTCCACAAAATAAGGTTAACTTGTACAATGGGTCCTTCTTTCAGATGACTCCGAAGAATTAAACGGATGGTAGTTCCCTCAAACTGGTGAGGACGCCAAGAACATCCTGAACAAGGGTTTTCCCCGTGTCAAACCCAAAAGGACCTCTGAGGCCGATGTGACTCCCTATCGAGGTCCTGTGACATAGTGCGTCAGCCTCCAGCTCTTACTGTCAACCTATCTCCATCATACCCGAAACTAGGGCTGTACCTAACCACCCAAAAAGAGCCCTCCGTCAAGCGTGAGCGGGTTTTTAC